GATCCTTCGATGTTAGTATATATATATGCCTGTTTAATTTAAGCTGTACAGTGACTACATTTAGCATCCATATGCAATCATGTGATAAGATTAGACAGTACAACTAACTTTAACTAATCATCACTTGTGTCCTGTCTGAAAAGGGCAAGGAAATACTTGTCTAAAACCCAGGAGGTGACTCTGTTTCAACTCTGTGTGAGGTTTATTCGACGTCACCCCCCGCCTCCACATGACTGGAGGGAGGGGATTTTTTTTTGGTTCTTGGCTTTCCATTCTCGATTTATAGTCTGGTTCTCCGTCTTCGTTCTGGTACTAAGGGATATAGGTGTTTTTTCACGGAGCCCTCGGAGCCTGAAGGAGCTCATTTGCCCAACGTCAATTTGCCTTCTGCAGCACCTTTCTATGAGAGTGGTCCAAGGCAGTCTGGCTGCGTGTCTTATTACAATGATGTTGAAATTAACTGCATGCCTCTTACACGCAGTTACGGAGGCGCAGTACAAGGAAATAGTAGTACGAGCAGAGGGCGCATATTAAACTTGGTTTTTCTTACCGATCAGTGACGTGTGAAATGTGTCGAAGGGAAGCCATGCGCCTTGTGAAAAAGTGTGTTTCAGTGTGATGTGGGTCATGGCATGCATATACAGTGACTTTTTGTGCGCATTTATCCGTTCATAGGTCACTAATGTGTGCTAGCTGTAGCTAGCTACAGTATTAAGGCAGATTCAGGTCGGTGTTTATCTCTATTACCATCGAGTGTGCATCCACGTGTATTATCTTGGTGTACGCTCGAGAGTGTGATCACTCTCATCACTGGAGCGCCTCACGGTGTCTCTGGAGGCTCTAAACGAGGATGACAATGGGGATTCAATGTGAAGAAATGAAGCCGTCCAGTGCAACAGCAAGCAAGCCAAGACTGCTGACCAGCGGAGGATATAATACCATACCAATCAAAGGATGGCAGCCACCACTTCTTTACCTTCCTCCCTCCTCGCTCCCACTCCCCTCAACTCCAAGTGTTAGGACGGGAAATTACAGATTATTTTAAACTACCTTCAACTGCATGATTCTTCAATTATTCAGCCAACAATGAGGTGACAAGTCAATACATTGTCGTATTCGGTTTTATCTTGGGTTTGGGTAAATCTTTGGAGTTTGCCCTAGACTTTTGCTTTTCATTCCTTTTGCGTTGCTAGGAGCAGGTACTGTATGGAATACATTGGTAATATGCTCTGACATGGCTGGTCTTTTCTGTCTGAGGATCGGGCAACACCTTTCTTATATACAGTAAGTCTAGAAGGAATGAAAAGCAAAATCTAGACTCCAGATTTACCAACAAAATAAAACTCGAATGTATTGACTTGTCACCTCATTTTCTGAATAATGAGAAAATCATGCAGTTAAGGTAGTTAATTTATTCCTTGTCTTCATTGAGTGAGGGAGTGGAGCGAGGAGGAGAGTAAAGAAGTGGGGCTGCATTGATTGTATGTATTTATCTCCCGCTGGTCAGCAGTCTGGCTTGTTGCTGTGCACTGGAGGTCATTCTTCACATTGAATCCCCATTGATCTCCTCTTTAGAGCCTCCAGAGACACCGTGAGCTCCATTATGAGAGTGATCACACTCTCGAGCGTACACCAATAAACACGTATGCACACTCATGAATAGAGAAACACAATCTCATACTGTAGCAGTACAGTAGCACATTAGGACATGGGTATGCACATCATTATGCATGCATGAACACACATAAACACACTTTTACAGCATGGCTTCCCTTCACACATGCACACTGATCGGTAGAAACCAAGTTTAATGCTGCCTCTCTCTATAATTCCTTGTACTGCGCCTCCTAACTGCGTGTAAGAGCATGCATTAATTCAGACATCATTTAATAAGACACGCAGCCAGACTGCCTTGACCACTCCATAGAAAGGTGCTGAAAGGCAATTACGTTGGGCAAATAGCCCTTCAGGCTCCAGGGGCCTAAACCCTTCTATCCAGACGAAGGACGGAGTGGAGGGGGGGGGGGGTGGACTCTAACTTCACACCAGAGTTGAAAGAGAGTCACTCTGGGTTAGACAATATTCCTTTGCCCTTTTCAGACAGACACAGTGATGATAGTTAAAGTTAGTTAGTTATCAGTTGTTGATCTAAATGAGTCACTGTACAGCTTAAATAAACAGGCATATATATATATATATGTGAGTTTCTTACAGAAGATCTGCATACGATTTTTTTAACCAAACTCAACTGCATTTGACCTGATTTCCTAATTTGTATATGACATGAAAATGACAGCAGCTTCATCTGAATCTGACCCTCATCAGGTCAACAATAAAACCAACAAAAAAAAAGAATGCACAAAACACAGGTTAGGAGTGTGTTCAGACTGTCATTATAAGCGGATGTCCTGTATGAAAGCAGTATTACTTTCTCTTCCCTTCAGACACTCCCTGCTCCATTCTTGACGAATGCATTATGATTTGTTAAACAGCTGGGGAAACTAAAGAGAAGGCTGGCAAGTGGTACAGTAAAAGTCAAGAGGCATTTACAGTATGTAAGGCTCAGCATGACATTATTAGAGCTGTTCGTCTAAAGGTAGATATGTATCAAGGTAGTCTTTATGATGTCATTGTGAGTTACTCTTTGGTTGACTAAAGCAAAAACGTTTCCACAAATAGCAACTCTGCAGACATCTTCAATTTAAATCACACTGGAATATACGGGACTAGCTCTAAAAGTATTCTCAAGTTGTTGATTTTTTGTTTTTTTGTTTCTTTTTATTCTGAAAACATGCAGATACAATGGGTGGGGTGGTGGGGGAATAGTCATAATTGAGAATCGTGACAGCACAGATGGTGCTTTTCTTCCTTTTTAAGTCATTTTGCAAAATTAATTATTGGAGGAAGATTAGTGGCTGTCAGTATTCCTTATGTCACAACAAAAAAGCATTTATCATTATGAATATTAAAATGAATGAATATTAAAAGCATTACGAATATGCCAAGGTATTTCATGTGAAGATTAAAAAAAACCCACATCACAGCCGGTCCAATAAATGTAGTTGGGAGAAGCACTCAAACCTGCATCTTTTTTCTTCTTATTACACATGGTACTAAATTGAAAACCAAAAAGACATTACTGGGAGGAAGAGATGGAGAAACATGTGTACATGTTCTTAATGACAGTTTACTCGAATGCTTTCACTGACATTAACA